AGATTTGATACCTATTGTGCATTTAAAACAAGTAAAAACGCTGTTAAGTTCCAGGTCGGTCCGCCTGAACCTTTCAGATTCCCCACCGCGTGAAATTTATTCACCAATGGGTCCCATCTTCGAACTTCTTCTAGAATTTGTTGTACAAAGTTTGGTTCATATCGGATAGTCCGTTTGCATGATAAATTTAAATTAATTTTTTGCACAATTTTGGCCATTTTGTAGGGGAGTTACCAAAAGGAGTGGAACTATATTCCACTTCTTCGAACTTGAATTAAGTTTTGAAGAAATATTAAGATGTGCAAAGTTTGGATTAAATCGGTTACTCATTTCGAGAGTAATCGTGCGCACCAGCTTGTCAGAAAGCCGGCCGGACATTTGTAAATCGACTCCAAATTGTCTGAAACGGATTTGGTTCAAAGAAATATGGTGTCTAAAACCAATATTTCGATTAGGCAAATTTTCACCGTATCAAAGTGTATATACCCTCATTAGCCATGATTCTGAGGGTATAATAACATGCGAATGAGAGTATAATAATAAGCAATCCGATTTGAACTAAACTTGGCACAACCTAATATTTTAACCATGCTTGTATAATGTTGAAAGATGGAACTTATCGGTCAATCTCTTTCTGGTACCTCCCCCAAAAAGGGTTAACAGCGAATTTCCAATTTCATCCAAATTTTGCACATGGTAATATATTTACCTTACATAAATCAAACTTGAAGATGGTCTACTCTTCTGGCACCTACCCCATAAAGAGTCCACATTTCAAAATTCTGTAAATTTAATTTGAAGCGAACCTACATTAAACCCTAATATGGGGTCTATATTCCGTATAAGAGAAAGAGAGAGGCAGTTTTACTGATCAAGAATATATATATATATATATATATAAGGTGGAGCCAACGTGCCCCCATCTCACCCAAATCACTAAAAATTTAGTGGGAATTCGTTATATGAGGGTTATACGAAGAAATGTACCAGTATTGAGATTTGATTCTAATTGAGAGTATCAAATAACAAACTACAGATGAAAAACATCTCAAAGTCTCAAAAAATACTGAAATTGTTGGGTTACCGATTTATGGGCCACCCAGTATTGATAATTTTTGGTAAAACGATTTATTTACCAAATTAGATATAGCCCATCTTCTGTCAACAAACTATAGACTATATGTAAAATTCTCAACTTAATTATTTCTGAAGATAGCATGATTACAACAGACGGACGGACTTCTCCAAATATCAAAATATTACCCTGATTAATATTTCGATGAGTTACAAACGGAATGATAAAAATTAAAATGCCCTGATTGTGTTTAGTTTTGCTCAAATCCGTTCAGATGTATAATTTCTCCCGAATTTACGTAAATTGGGCATCAAGGTACCAAATTTTGACAAAGTTTACTAAATCTAATCTAGAACATATCTGATCATGCATGGAAACTGGTGCCCTTGTTTATAAGCTCCTTCTCTGTGTTCTCTTTTTTAAATCATTTCATATAGCGGGGTTTCAGTTACTCTCACATGCATTTTTTGATAAATTCGGAGTATGGGTGCTCCGAATACCTTGAAGATAACTTTGAATATTTTTTGAGAAGGCAATGCGCGTTAACCTATGATACTAAATGTCAGCACTGTTGCATTTCATAGCATTCAATTTTTAAAAAGTATGCGGTACGGAAGTATGTGTACGGAAGCAAACAATGTTAATTCCTTCTTTTTTTAGCAAATTCACCTGCATCCGAATCATATTCGCTCCTTTTATACATAATTATATTAACCTTTATTTTTAATAGTTTTCTTTGTTCTGCTTCAACTTTTCAATACATATCTTTATTAAAGTAGCTGATAATAACTATCCAGGTATATAAATTTTATGACGACTCATCTTGTATATTATATAATAATTTTATTGTACTATTTAAAACCGATTTTCACAGATAATGCCAATTATTTTAGGTCATAATTATAATGACAATATCGTATTGTAGAAAACAATAATTCTACAATTGCAAACAAATAAAGCTGAATGAATTTGTAATGAACTTACAGTTTGTCTCAATGTTTGCATGTGAGTGTACGTGTGTGTTAGCTAGCTGATTTGTCATATAGTCAATAAATTTCAAGTATGTTTAACTAGTTAGTTAATATGTACATTTTTATTGTGCATTGGCAGCCGAGACCTATGTAAGCAGCTATATACCGACTAAGTCACTGGCCTAGCCTCAATCGCCGCGTCGCCTCCTCCTCTACCCTTACAATAGGGACGTCGTTGTATAGATCATATTTCTAATTTCAAGAGCCATTTCATTGTTCGTTCGTTTAGATTTTATAAAATAGCTGAACGCTGTAGAACAGCGCAACAGTTGGATTTACGCGCCCGTACTCTCTTAACATACTTACCTTGCCGGCATATTCGTTTCGCAGTCGCAACTGACGAAAAAAGTCATCTTGACATTGCACTTCAAAAAGTAGAACGCAGCGGAGCAACTAAAAACGCGCATGCGTCTAATTGATAAATTTCGAAAAGGATTAAAAAATAATTCAAACTTGTGATTGTGATTAAGGATTAACATACAAAATGGAGATGCGCATCCTTTTTCTGAAAAACATGCATTCGTCGTTTTTAATGTTATTATTAACAATGTGCTTAATTAATGGTTCGACAAGTTTTGAATATTTCAAAGAAAAACGTAAGTGATGTTTAGTGCTACTAACTTGAAAAAAAAAAATTGAAAAGAATAAAAACATGAATGAAGGATATGAATAAGGTATTTTGTAGAAACAGCGAACAAAGAAACATGTAAAACCAGAAAACAACATGAACCGAAATCGGTGTTATGAGTACATAACACTACGGACACATGAGTACGTTAGTATTCATCTTAGACTAAATTTGGTGTCTCATACCAACCGATTTCAAGCAAATCGCGGTCCTACGTCACTCAAAAACAGTTTCTGTCAATTACTCTATGCGACAAAATGGAATTGTATGGGAAATGGAAATCCCTTTTTGTTGAATGCCCTGGATATAAATCACGTCTTTGATTAATGGCGTGATGAATTCTTTGCTGCTGATGATGAAAAAGCTTTAAATCTTTGTTTGTGGCTATTGCAGGTTATATTTGAGATGACAAGTATCCGACTCACATTCTAGCAAATTGGTTAGAAAATATTTTGATAATCTTCTAACCTTCATTAAAACAACCCCAACCCATCAAACTTTCCCCTGACATGTTTTATAGTTTGCTTTACTTGATGTCGCTGAAGATTTATTATGTGAGTGGCGTCAGTAATATTCTTTATCATCCTATAAACGCATAATTTTTGTTTCATCGGATTACTTATTTGGCTTGTGATAGAAAATTTGTCTTTCCATCGAATTTGTGGCCTCCTCCTTCTGCATGAACCATCAGTTGGAGAGTTTGCTTCAAACACTCCAAGCGTTGTCTCATCTACTTGCGCAAGTACCCTTTGCTTTAAAAAAAAGTTTCCGAGAGGTGGCCATGTTTTTGAATTGCTTATTAAGACCATAGTAGCATCTTACAATTTCAAAACTGATGTCATTAGTTTTATTTATGGCGGTACCGAGGTATATAAAATCGTTGACTACCTCAAATCTGTAGTTTTCAAGTTCAACAGTTGGTCCGAGTCTACTGGACGTCTTGCGCGTTGATACCACCAGCTTGGTCTTCTCGCCATTTACTGCCAGTCCCACTTTGGCCGACTCCTCCTCAATTCGTTTAAAGGTGACGATTACCGCTCGCAATGTCCGACCCATTATGTCGATGTCGTCGGCGTAGGCGAGTAAGATATGCTGTTTGGTGTACAGAGTGTCATTTCTGTTCACATTTGCATCTCGTATGACCTTTATCAGCATGATGTTAAAAAGGTCACACTACAAACTGTCATCTTGTCTGATTCCTCGTTCGGTATTGAAGGGCTCCGAGAGGTCCTTTCCGAATTTAACTGCTGACTTTGCAAGAATGCCGAACATGGCTTAAAACACCTCTGAGCGGATTGGGCTGTTTCTAGGAAACAGCATGGATGCAAATAAGACGAATGTAGAAAAATTTAAAAAAAGTTTTATTCTCCTGTTAACCATAAACCGCAGCCAAATTTATGTCTCGTTTCATGGTAGCTATAATACAGTGCATAACTATCAGATTTAATCAGATTTAATCACATATCCTGTAAGGTAATAATATCGGTTTTGTACTTCTTGAGTACATCGGCCAAAGCAAAACCCACGTCTGATCTGTGCAGATTCGGGGTCAACATTACGGGGGTTTGGTGTTCTTTTCGTTACCTTTTCATAGTAGGAGTGGTTTTCCGACTGTGGGCAACTAACCCGACGCCTCAACCCATTTTTTACAGTTCTTATGGGTGAACTCGCACAATCAGCTCCCTATTTCAACGGCTGATAAAAGTAGCTACCCCAGGTGACACCGCGGGGAGGTCCGTGTCAGCAAATGAGATGAAAGAGGGATTAATTTAGAACCTGCCAACAATATCCAAGGGAAAAACAAACAACACACCCCAAAACCTCGTTTGATTTGGATTACTTTTTAACATGGTTAAAGTCTCACACAGTCATCAAAAAAGAACATACATTGGGTTATTCTTGATTATATCTTAGACACTGATTGGCAAAATAATATGCCAACCGCTTTTAATAGCGATCAATGGTTAGATATAGAGTACTCACAATTTGCGGGATTTTGAGATTTCATGTTTGAATGTTCGATCAAAACTGACTGTTCGATCAAAACTGAATATCCTTCGATACAGGTACATTAAACTTCCGTATAACATCCTGTACCATTTTTAATTAAGTAGGATATTAAGATACTGAAATAAATGTAAGCATTGGTTGAAGATAACGTCCGCTATCTGGGTAATATTTGTACGAATGCTTTTAATTTACTGTCATATAACTACGATTTTTTCGCTTATATTTAAATGAAAACGATTTATAATATATTTTGCAGCATCCTACATCAAAAGTTGTAAAATTTACGAACCCGAGTTCACCAAATGTTCCACAGAATCCATTCAACGATTTCTAAAAGAAGTGTTCACGGCAAAAGTGCCCGAAGTTGTTGCGGAAGTAGGCAAACTGGATCCATTACACTTGGATGAAATTCATTTCAAACAGGACAACAATGATGCCGCATCGTTAAGAGCACATTTGACGAACTTGGAGGTATCGGGACTTTCGAATATTCAAGTAACGGAGAGTAGGTGAGTGCGAATGCCTTACCAATGTCTATATTTAAAATTACATTTTCATTCCTCCACAGAGTAAGCAAGAAGGACTTTAGCTGGTTGACCAAACTATTTTTTCCTAAATTCAAAATTGAGGGCCACTATAAAATGGATGGTCGTGTTTTGCTGTTGCCACTTAAAGGAGAAGGACAAATGGTCATTGAAATTGGTAAATAGCAACTATTTTTCGATATATGTGATTTATAATAAAAAGTTGACATTTTCATGCAGATGCAATGAACGTTACAATGCGTACCAAAACCCGTCTAATTGAAAAGGGCGATTTCACCTTCTACAATGTCACCGACATCAAATTGGATTTGGATGCCCAGAAAATGACCAGTTATTTTGATAATCTATTCGGTGGCAATAACGAAGAGATCAATCGCAGCACCAATGAATCGTTCAACAAAAATTGGAGAGATTTCTTTGAGGCTCTGCGACCATTGATTACCGACACCGTAGATAAGATCATGTTTAATCTCATTCCGAAATTGTTCCATATGTATCCTGCAAATTTCTTTGTGGAAGATATACCCACACCACAGAAGTTGTATGGCAAACAATAAATCTAGAAAATGATTTTTTGTTTTAAATATAAAAACAGAATTAAAATAAATTTATTGATTTTATAAAAATAACTTAGCGTAAATTTAAGAAGACAATTGCAAAGATGCAAAACAATTTTTATCAAAGACTTTTTCGCAGGGCCCATATACATGGAGCTCCCATTATTTGGTACTTTGCGAAATTTTGAGCATGCTTTTCAACAAATCAGCTACTTTTAAATTTAATTAAGGTATGCCATAATTGTCTATCCATAATTAGAGATGGGCAGTGGGTAAATACACAAAGGGTAAATACCCGATAAATTGGCACCTTAAGTGGCTCAATGTAATTACTTGTATGGGATCTCTGGGTCCAAGTTTTAATATAGGCCCCATATTACCGTACCTCCCGATTTAAGTTTTTTATTTTGTCTATTAGATACATTTTACGATCAAATGAGCTGTAATTTGGCATAGAGAGTTCTCTATGAGTACCAAATATTTATGCATAATTTTTTTCGATGTAGGTCCACGTTTTCTGATACCCCCCATACAAAGGTACGTACACCTATTTAAGTATTTACCCAAAAATTGGGTATAAACTCATTAAATGGCGAACCAATTGACATGGACGGCCAAAATTTGGCTCAGATATATCAATGCAACTACTGGTAGGGAAAATAGGATCTCTGGTCTTTGTTTTTGTTGGAGAATCAATTGAATTCACTCAACAATTATTTACTTTGTTATATCATTATGTAGTATGCTATGGTTTTTATATTGTATAGGAACATAGTATACTTTGCATTTTATGAATAATTTTATATTGGAATTAAAATTTATTTTTCCATTCCTATATAAACTTTTGTGAAGTATAGACGTGTGTGTTTTTCCAATAACTATAAATTAGTGCAAAAGAAAATCCTTTCATAGAAGATCCTTGCAATAGTTTTGATATAGCCCCCATACTACCGCACCTCCCGATTTAAGGTATTTTTTGTCTATTCGACACATTTTACGATCAAATTGGCTGTAATTTCCAGAAACCCGGAAATAGGGTGTAAGATGTTGAATTACCGATTCAATATATAGAATACCCAAATGAGCATATGAGTATGTATCCACGCCTTGGGTATTTCCCCGGTAAATACTATCTCTATCCATAATACATATTCCAACGATTACCTTCTATTTTTGATATTAAATACTGCTACGATATGAAACATTTAATTTCTTCTTATGTTTGATCCGCCACTTTGAATTAATTTTATTTGATTTTCAAATTCTGATTTCACGTTTGTAATTAGTGATTATAACTCTATAAAATGTGTTCAAAAATAGTTTGATTTATTAAATTTGAAAAATTGACCGTCAACTTCGTTGCACCCTATTGAATTTGATAGAAAACTATGCAATATTGTTCAACAAAAAATATTCCGGAATGCTTTTGTGTTTGGTTTTGCGAAAAATTTTCCTGTTGTATAATAAAACCGACCGGGTGGCCTTTTTATTTCTTTCTCGATTATATTATATTTTTCACCATATCAATGAAAGTTCACCACGTTATAACAGTTTTGCTTATTTCTGAATTATATACGCCTAAAAGTATGCTTCAGAAATGAGCAAATTCAAATTGTTGGAGGTTGATAGCAGTGTTGCCAATTTAGCACTTTTAGTGCTAGATTTAGCACTTTTTAAACTCGTTTAGCACCAAAAAAAGCGATCTAGCACCTAGCACTTTTTTTAGCATTTTTTTATTTTTCAGTAATTTTTTATAATTTTTGTTTCATCCCAACAATTTTTCCCGTTTTTAAATTTCATATTGACGCATTGAAATTTCCCGCGATGAATTTGATTTTCCAATGTTAAAAATGTGACAGTAGATTTGTAAGCAGGTACTTCATATGGTGACTATGACATTGTCTGCTAGTAGATTGTTTATTTGAAAAAAATAAATAAAGCGGTCCATTGGAATTTTCTGAAAATAAGTTTTTTATTCACCGGCAATCCCGAACGCCAAGTTATAACCACTTAAGAGTACCGAACAGGACCAAAATAGAAAAATTCCGGCAAACATATATTTGTATACCCTTCACCACACTATGGTCAGGGTATATCTATGTTTGTAACAGGCAAAAGGAAACGAGATAGACACATCGAATCACTTTTTAATCCGATTTATGTATGTCCGTCAGTTTGTCCATGTTAAATTGTAAACAAAGTACAACTCGCATTTTTGATTCGAATTGGATTCAATTTGGCACAGCTCATTTATTTGGGGAAATAGGTTCGGATGTATATATAGATTCCATATATATTTTCGTCCGATTTTTGGTAAGTAGGGCACACAAGGCCCTATATATCTTTCGATTTGCACGAAATTTGTGCATATGGTAATGAATTAAGCCTATTCTTCGATTTGCACGAAATTTGGTATAGCGAACTGAATTGAGTCTAGAATGATGGGTGGTGAGTTTCGAGAAAATCGGGCCAGATTTTGATATATGTAGCTCCCATATATATTTCGGTCCGATTTTATGTAAATAGGGCACCAAAGTCCCTTTATATCCATCGATTTGCACGAAATTTGGTATAGGATACTGAATTGAGTCGAGAATGATGAGTGAAATGTTTCGGAAAAATCGGTTCAGATTTCGATATAGCTCCCAAACGTACATATATACTCACCCGATTTTTCATTAATGGTGCACCGAATTTCTAATATTTGTGCGATTAGCACGAAATTTTGTACAGCGTATCAAATTGAGACTAGAATGACGTTATTGCGTTTTGTTGAAATTGGTGCAGATGAAGCCATAGCTTCCATATGTATTTCGAAAGGGTGTCTGATTGAAATTAATTGATAATTGTCTTCGTATGCTAACTTCCAAAATCCCGCAATATGAAATTACAGTTACTTTGGGGTAATGGGGTGCTGCCGTTAACCATCAACCCCTAAATATGTACATATATTAATAATTTCTGATAAGGAGATTTTTTACTTAAGGGGACCCCCCCCATTCTCGGGGTCAAAATTTTTGTTGATATAATTCGAATCTACACTGATCAAAGAATGTCTCTACAAAATTTCAAGTGAAAATCTCAAGAACTGTTGAATATATATCCGATTTATTGTGTCAGCATCAAGTGACGGCTGAAGGGCTTCTCAAACTTTAAACGCGTTTTTCTCTAAACATTTTTTTGCGAATGGCGGGCACGATAACTCAAAAACTAATAATCCAATCGGTTCCAACTTTTGCAACGTTTCTCTGGGAGTGTATAGCTCTCGTATGAACTAGGATAAAGCCAATCGGTGAAGATCTTCCTTATTTTTTAACTTGGTTTTTGGTAAAAAATTCGCGATTTTTCAAAAATATTTTTTCAAAGAGCCACCATTTTCTTAATTTTAGAGCGAAGTCAATAATCCTAGTTCATACGAGAGTCAGACATGTACTCTTTCTAACACCGTTGGAATTTTCGGATTCCGATGTTCCAGTGAGGAGTTATCATGCCCGCCATCAAAAATAAGGACTTTTCTTTAATTACAAAAAACAACAACAAAACAATAACAAAATTTTTTTGTAAATTATTTTTCTTCTCTTTTAAATCTTCAATTATATATGTGCAAAGTTACAAACCTTAACAAGCATTGGTATTGATTTACCAGCCCATTGAAAATCCTGAAAAAATAAAATCGAGAATGGGGGGGGGTTCCCTTAATTTGAAATATTTTGATATTTGATATTTAAAGCCAATTCGATTTTAAAACGTGTTTATGAGGGCTACGCTTAAAAGTGGAACAATGTTGATAATTTTTAGTAAGAAGACTTTCTACACAGGGAGAATCCGAAATACAAAACCGCATATTAGGTTAAAAAATGTGCCCAAAACCTTAAAAAAATCAAATGTTGGGTATGGTGTACACAAAAAAGACAAAAATATTTAATTTCCAATACCAAATGTCCTAGCAGTAGTGCAATATATTGGCAAAATTCCAAAGCTCTGTTTTCAATATTGCGACCTCAATCGGATGGACATGGCTAAATCGACAAGGAGTAGCCTTTAAGAATAAATGGGGTCTCTGATGAATATTTCATTATTACATATTAACAATTTTGTTCATTTAATTTTTTAGCACTTTTTTCTGGCACTTTTTTTTAAATTTCTAGCACTTTCTAGCATTTTTTTCAACAAAATCTAGCATTATTTCTCAACAGAGTTTTGGCAACACTGGTTGATAGTCACTCCCATTTATTCCTTTAGAATTTTACAGAAACATGTGGGGCTTGGTTCAAGTGTGTTTGGATTAAAACAATCTCACACAATTTGGATTCGGTTTAGAAATGTCCGTCTATCAGACTTGCTGGCCGGTGCACACGATAACTCTAGAAAGGAGTGAATAACATGAATCAAAATTTTCACATTTAAATCAACATCGAAGATAGGGAATTTCGGTCGACTTGTACTGGTCTTAAATAATATAGTAAAAAATATGCCAACATATTAATTTATTAAATGCGATCAAACGTTATCCAAATTTTGTTTAACGTAATATCAAGGCGCACTTCTTCCATTTTATGGTCAGTTGGGGTGTCACCTTAATCGATCCACTGAAGCGGCTACTCGGGCTATGGTGACTAAATTTTCGCAATTATTATTTTTGATAAGTGTGATATATAATAACTAAAATTTATGTTTTCTTGCAGATGTAATGAACCTTACAATGCGTACCAAAACTCAACCTAATATCAGGGCGCACTTCTTCCATTTTTTTTTATAGAAAAAGTGGAAGTTTTGTGCGTTGGTTGTTTGCATCATTAATAACACTGTGCTACAAAATAACAAAGCTTATTGAATTTTCTTCCCCGTAATATGATAAAACATATACGGCTTGATATCATCATTTCATCGTACAGTCCGTAGAAAAATAAATTTTGTCATTCATGCGTATTTTTTCACATTTCAACTGATGTAACTCAGCCAATCCTCAACCGATTTACCAAATATATATCTAGCTTGAAAGGAAAAATTCTACTCTTCGAAAGAAAAACCAGAAAGGAAAGTAGTAAAGTCGGACGGGGCCGACTATATGATACCCTTCACCACTTTGGGTATATTCAACATTCATCCTAACGGACGTCGAATTATTGAAGGACCAGTAAAATGACGTTGGATCCATAAACATGTTATTCTGCAACCTACACTATATTTTTCAGATATAGAGTGGCTCCATACAATAGGACAAAATTATGTAAATTAATTTTAGCAAATATCAATCGGACACCCGTTGATTATATGGATAAATATCCAATAAAAATGAGTAGTTTGGTGCAACTATATCTAAACTGAACCGATTTCAACGAGACTTGCCAGAGATTAATTTATATTAACTACAGTTCATTGTACAGAATTGTGTGGCAATCGGACAAACCTTGGGTCTTTAGTGCACAATTCACATAAAATCGGAAGAAAGCATATATAGGAGCTATATCAAAATCTGAACCGATTTCCAACTTAGAAAACATCATTCTAGACGTAATTCAGCACGCCATGCCCAATATTGTGCAAATCGAAATATATATATATAGGGACTTTGGTGCACCATTTACCATAAAATTGATGCAGGTTGGGACAAAAAATATATATCGAAGCTATATCTAAATCTGAACCGATTTTCAGGAAACTTAACACACATCATTCTAGACCTAATTCATTACGCTATGCTAAATTTCGTGCAAATTGAAAGATATTTAGGGACTTTGGTGCACCATTTACCTTATATCGGACGAAAATATATATGGAAGCTATATCTAAATCTGAATCGATTTTTCCCAATTTCAATATGGTTCGTCCCTGGGCGAAATAAGTGACCTGTGCCAAATTTCATTCAATTCGGATCATAAATGCGACCTGTACTTTGTTTACAATTTAACATGGACAGACGGACGGACGGACATGCATAAATCAATTATAAAATTAATTTTCGAAATGACCCAGAAAGGTATTATCGTGGTCCAGGGACTTCAACTAAACAGAATTGGTACATTAGAACCCCTGAATAATTTTGGTGTCGCACAGTGTTATTTATATCGCACAAAAACGAACAAAATTGCTAATATATGAATTAGATTTTGTGGAAAATTCCCTATTTCGACCCCAAATCAAGTTTGAAAATAAGGAAAATCTTGGCCGACATCTACTTACGAAATTGTTTTTATAGCCTTCACCACTCTGTGGTACTGGTTATTATGTCAGGGCATATGTTTGTAACAAGCAAAAAGAAATTAAATAGACCTATGAACCATAGGTCTATTTCATTTCTTTTTTTTCAAAAATATGCATATAATCACATAGCGTACTGAAAAAAGTCTAGAATGATGTGTGTTTAGTTTCATGGAAATCGGTTCGATTTATATATAGCTCCCACATATATTTTCGTCCAATTTTAGGTAAATGGCGCACTAAATTCCTAATGTTTGTCCGATTGACACGAATTTTTGCGTTTTTTTTTTTTTTTAATTAATGCATATATAATATTTTGATCGGATGACTGATAGAGATTTTATTTTCAACAGTGCGATATACCTAATAGCGTGTATCAAGTTTGCTATAAATCGATTTACATAAATTTGTCCCATATACCGCAGAAAAGCATCTGTATGGATTGATTTTAGCCGGTTCACTTATAGATAAAGATCTCATATTTAATTTAATGATTGGAAAATTATGCCCGTATACTATTTTATTTTTTAGAAAATGGAATATATTCGTCCCTAGATAATAATAGCCTGTTAATACTAATTGGTCTATAAATACTACTTTTAAAACATTTGATATTACTTGTTAATCTTACTTCGATTTATTCAGTTATAGTTTCAAATAAAAATTGAAATCTTTGCATTAGTAGTCACATTAAAATTAATAAAATTAATTATGAAATAGACAGAAAAATACAGCAAATTATAAATAAATGCATTCTTTAAAGAAGTTTACTTAACGATTAAATTAAAAGTTACGGATAGAGAGAGTGAGTGAGTGAAATTGTTCACGTTATTCTCAATTGAACCAATCCCATTTTTTGTAATCGACTTCGTTTACAAGAGAATGTATCGAAGTGTGATGGGTGTTACCAGCGCGAACAAACACACGACGATTGCCCAAAGGTTGCAGCTGGCGATAATTGTCGACCAAGGCCCCGTCTTGAACATCGGCCAATTGACGGAAACGAGAAATCTAAAAAAGGAGCGAGTTTCAATTTATTTTCCTAATTTTAAGATCAATGGCCGTTAAATACGTTACCTGCTTGGGTGAAATTGGAATGGGATCGGGATATAAAACCCACGTGATAGCCTCGGAACAGGGTGGTGTTGTTAGAGAACCTTGAAGAAAATAAAACAAAATATTTTATCATTAATTAGTCTGCAAAATTTTTATGAACGAGAATGATTTATTAAATGGATAAAAAAACGTAGACAATGAAAACAAAGTGGTAATGAAATTTGTTGAGATATTGCGCTTATATAATAATTATTGGTCTTATCATTGATATGTATACGCGCACATGTATACTTATCAATCAATGATTCGAAATGTCCACAAAAAGTCAATCACATAAATATTTTGATTTCAAAGCAAGTACAATTTAATTGTTATCACTGGAAAAACAAAAACTTATCTGACCTGAAAGCAAACTCAATCGAACAAAACTTTCAGAATTGGACTTAATAATTTGGGTACATATGGGCTCTATATATATTCAAATAAAACTTGGCACGCGCCATTCTAGAACTCAATTCGGAAGTCGTCTTAGACTCAAATCGGTAGCTCACACAATATGTCCTGTCAATTTGATACACGTGGGAACTGTATATAAATCTGAACAGATTCTCCCCAACCTTGTACCAAATGAATGAGACATGCAATATGGTAAAATATTGTGTATACGCATATAGGATCCGACAATCAGATTTTTATACTTGCATAAAAAGTTATCGTGCTAATCAAATTTTCTGAAAAATATTTCTTATAAACATATGTTGGATGTAAGCCAATTATATCGATGAGACATTTTTTATATTAAACTATACATATTAGTTAAAATTGTACAATAATACGTGCGACCATAAGGGTATTTTCTGATCCACCTGGACCTATTAAACATCAAAAATACTATAAAACAGGCTAACGATCATAAGACTTCTATCAAGGAAACTAACATATGACAATTTGTCTGAATCCTCGGATTTAATAATATTTTATAGGTCCACATTTTAAGAAATTGTTTTTTTAGAGAAATTTTCCCATGTCATTCGAAATATTCGTAAACCATTCGAAAAAATTCTCAAATTTCTTCCATTTTAATTACATGATTTCAATTCATGGCATATTAATAACAATAATACTAACAATATAACTATCGTATTGTATAAGTCCACTTATAACAAAATGATAAGAAGTACTTTAAAAATTGCCGTATTTTGAAGCAGCAGTTTGTGACTACCGAAGATATTCTATTATTCATTGTTATTAGCTGTCATATTGATTAGTCGGCTAAGAGTGAACTATAAATCTGATAAAAAAAATCAAAAAAACTACACCGACGTTTTATTTTTTACCAAATATTGGGGAAAAAATAATTTCGTGTTAGTTTTTTCAACCGCATGTATTGTTTGAAATATGATAATCTTTAATCATCATAATAATTAAAGCAAAGTGTGTTATTTAATGTTTTAAGATGTTTCACATGAGATATACTTTAATTAATTGTATTCTAAAAAAAATGTGTTAAGACAAAAATAATGAAATTGTAAAAAAGTGATGACCTCGATGAACTGAGGCACCCGTTTTGTCCAAAGACACCTAGACATATAAAACCAGTAAGGAAAGTAGTCAAGTCGGACTATATGATACCCTTTGCCACTTTCGACGTATACAAATCAAGCATAACAAATGTCATCACAGATAATGTTGGTTAAATGTTTATTATATGGGAAATATTGCCAAATTGCTAGCATAGCTGAAGCCGAGGTTCCCCGTTTATAACTCGGAAATTTTAAAAGTATATGAGAAAAATTTAATATTGTGGTGATTGACCTCCAAAATTTATTGTCGTGGAAGCTGTATCTACTTTAATGTAAACAAGTAAAAAAACGTAAAGTTCGGCCGGGCCGAACTTTGGATACCCTCCACCATAGAAATACTGACAAATTTTTGAAATGAAAACATATAACGACAATTCTTCCAATCAATTGTTGTAAATTAAATAGAAAATTCAGCAATTTCAATGGGGGTTTTCCTAAAATCTCAAAACCCTAAAATGTTGAATACAGCTATATGTGATAACCCAATACACGGAAAAATCCGCTAACTATTTTAATATAAAAAAGGGGGTTCTAAGGGGACTACCCCTAAAAGGGGGTGAATATTAATAATTTTTTGTAAGAATATTTGTTACCATATACGACTACAAAATACCAAATTACAGCGAAGTCGGTTGAAAGCCGTGCTCAAGAACCCCAAAATTGGGGGGTACCCTTATATGGGAGCTACCCGAAAAAAATGGACCTATATTTATAATTTTTAGTGGAGAGATTTGCTACGCAATAAGAACTCAAAGTATCAAATTTCAGCGAATTTGGTTGAAAAACGGGCTCAAGAACCCCAAAATACCGAAAATTGGGGGTACCCTTATATGAGAGCTACCCTACCTATATTTATATTTATAATTTTTTGTGGAGAGATTTGATACCCAATAAGAACTCAAAATACTACATTACGGCCAATTCGGTGAAAAAATCCGGTCTAAACCCTCCAAAAGCTGAAAATTATTTTCCTATGGATTTATATACCAGAAAAAGTGGACCTATATTAATAATTTTTAGTGAAGAAATTTGGTATCCAAAAAGAACCCATTTTAGCAAATTTCAGCGAATTCGGTTGAAAAACTCGCTCAAGAACCCCAAAATACTGAAAATTTGGGGGTACCCTTATATGGGAGCTATGCCTAAACGTGGACCGATATAGCCCATCATCGAACTTGACCTGCCTGCAGACAAAATACGACTCTATGCAAAATTTTGGCGTTTTATCTCAATTCGTTTAGACGCTAGAGTGATTACAACAGACAGACGGACATGCTTAGATCGTCATAGAATTTTACTCTGATCAAGAATATATATTCTTTATAGGGTCGGAAATGATTATTTCGATGCGTTACAAACGGAAAAACAAAACTAATATACCCTCCATACTATGGTGGAGGGTAAAAAATGAGTAAAAACTGGGTGAAGCAAGCCAGGTTTATTAAGTTTTTCCAAATTTGTGACTATGCCACCCTTTTCACGGCCTCCGTGCTAAAGTAAAAGTAGAAGCCTTATGTATCGTTTTTCGAAAATTGATCTGCATCTACCTTTAAATGATGCTGACAATTTAATGCTCGATTTTGAGTGTTTTTGGATTTTTCTTCTATTTTCAATAAAAAAAACCGATTTTTATGAAAATGGAATATTAAAAAATTTGCAATATTGCCCACATTCAGTCAAAAAGACAGACAATGGAGTACCATTGACATGAAATCTGATATTCGAACCAATTTTAATCCATCAAGACATCTATGTGTCATTTTGCAATCTATCGGCATATTCCTGCCAACCCGTCATAATGGGGTTCTATGGTGTACCATTTGTGTAAAATCTAACAAAGTTATTTTTTAGATTTATATATAAATCTGTACCGATTTAAAGACAACACGACATGCTGCAACACAACGTTCAAAAAATTTTGGTATAAGTTTGCGCAAATATGAAAAAAACATCTGAATGTTTGTGAACCATTCTGATAAAATCGCCCAATCGATTTCAGCAAAATTAAACACACATCATTCTAGAATCAATACGGTGCGCTACACCAAATTTTGTCTCAACCAGACAAGCCTTGGGAGTTTGGAATGTCATTTACATAAAATCGAAAGAAAATATATATGAGAGCTATATATAAATCTGAACCGATGTCAATGAAACTTAACACACGTTATTCTAGATTTATTATTTATACCAAATTTTCTGAAATGTTTAGAAAATGTGTCCGAATGTTAGCAGGAAAAACTATAGAACTGTATGCCCGCATTAACGGTATTTTCCGGATTTTTAGACACATTTTCTAACCGAATAATCAGATATTTTATATTTTGAGTTCTAATTGAGTAACAAATTTCCAAAAAAAAAAAATTGGCTACAAAAAGTGGGTATTTGCAGGGTTTTTAGACACGCTTTGCAACCGAATTGGCTTCAATTTTATATTTTGTGTTTCTAGGTGCCCCGATATAAAGAAATTCACATTTAATTTTTTTTTTAATTTTACGAAAATTTGTCTTCGAAAGTGGCTGTAATTTACTATACCTTGTGACCTATGGGATGCAAATTGTCCTTGGAAAACATAGTCGACATAGGTCTACTTCTTTCCTTTTTTTCTGAAATTAATCATTAAAAGGTAATGTTTAAAAATAACCCCATTTTCGGTATTTTGAAGATACTACCCCATTTTTTCCAACATTAGCGTCTGTGATTTGAAAAATTAACAACCTATAACCATAATAACATAGTCTATGTAATAAGAAATTTTGAATGCACACCATGAAAAGTGCAACTCGGCCGAACTTAACTACATTTTTACTTATTTCTTTTACGTTTGGTGCTTCAAGTGGTTGCTAAGACACTCAAAATCATATTCACAAAGATATGTATATTTATTAATATACTTTTTTGAAAAAAAAAGAAAATCATGTCATATGCTCCAATTTTAGATTGAATGTCTGTAATTTGTGCATTTCTTATATTTTTGCCTTTCATTACTTATTATTTTCTTTCTATGTATGTTATCTATGAAAATCAATTTTCCCAACACCTTTGTACAATGTCGTTTCCGGTTTATTTGTGTGTACTTACCTTTGTATGTGTAGAATTTGTCGATATCAACACCATTGATGATAGATGCCAATGAAAATGTTACATTCAAGGCCACCTCATTATTGGCATCCGGAATCAAATGCAAATGACGATTGATTGCTTGCAATCCATTATTGTCATCCTCATCCAACTGTTGATATACAGAAACGAAAAAAAATAACATAGGAAGAAGAAAAAGAAATTGAATTATTCTAAATTAAATGGAATTTAATAATTCAACTCAAACAATAAAGTATAGATGATGAGGTAGTCGTCAAAATTTTATATTGAGGCATAGTTCCAATTTAACAGCCTTACCTAAAATTCAACTAGCTCGTTCGACGTTTTTCACCACAAAAGTAGAACACATGTATTTATATGAATGTTACCGAAATACGTCGAACGTACAAAAAACGTTTAAAAAATTTCAATTTTATTTTGCGGTTTGTATTATTTGCTTGAAGATATGAATTCGACGTATTTGGGTAATACGGCCGTAAACAACATTTTGCAAAAGTGAGGAAGTTGAATATTTTTGTACGCCCCGTCGGATTTTAGGTAACGTTGTAAGCAATATCACATTGGAGCTATAGGGTGGATCCAAATCCCTCTTAAATTTATTTCGTATTTTTTTAAATTTCTTATTTGCAGACAACATCCATCTCACATCTCAATATTTTTGTTAACTTTTCTTAACTTACATTGAAAAAGAAACCCAATACAGCACCGCCATCAGCATAGTCCAAGGCCTCCGGCATAGTTTTGTACTTCTTGTTGCGATGCACAATATGCATTTCCATGGTATAACGAATGTCATTGACAACATGCTCCGCTCCGCGATTGTTCTTATCGCCCCAATGGAAATGAACGCTTTCCACCTCGAATTCACCTGGCAACTTGGCACCACGAATGTACGGCATAAATTCACCCTTCTCTTTGGCCTCATCATCCAATTTAGGAATGGTAATTGATACTGTGAAGATTTAGACATGAAAACAAAAAACAACAACGACAACAACAACAAATGAGACAAATGTTCATCATAAATTCAAAGAGAACGGATTAGAAGGAGGTTTGCCTGAAAAAATGCGCGAAATGATTTTTTCTCCAATGAATGTAGGTTAGGATGGGAAATTTAAGATCTTGAAAGGAATTAAGGCCACAAAAAAGTTAGAACAATTTAAATGAGGATTTGTTAAATTTAAAGCTGAGATTCTAGAGATCGAAGCCTGGCCTTCAGAATGCTGATCTTCTATAGATCGAAGGCTGGCTTTCTATAGATATAAGACTGGTCATTTAAAAATTTAAGATAGGAAGTTGATAGCTAGCCTTTAATAGATCGAAATTAAGCCTCCTATAAATCGAAGGGAGGTCTCCTATTAATCTATGACTGACGTTGTATAGATAGGTGGCTGAGTGTTAATACATTGAAGGCGGGTCATCTACAGATCGAATTCTGGCATTCTTACGATTGAAGGCTGGCCTCCTTTAGAACGAGGGCTGACCACCTACATATCGAAGGCCAACTTCCTATAGATCAAAAGCAGGTCTTCAATAGATCATCCAATTTAAGAATTGATTCTGTTTGGATTCTTAAATTTCTTACATGTGCCATATGTGTGTGTACATACCTGTATGACCGTTATTAACCAATGTCAATGGATGTGGCAACAAATTATGATATCCAATCATATCAACAGCTGGCATATGTAGTGGTATCGACTGTCAAAGAAACAACAACAGCAACAAACAAAAAATAAAAAATACATTTCATACAAAATGTTCTTTGATCCGATACTGTCTCTATTCCCAAAAGAGTTCAACATACCTTTGAAACGTGTAGAGCAATGGGAGATTGAGTTTTTCCAGCACAGTGGCCATGGCGACGAGACCAACGTCTTTGATTTGGTTCAGAATAACCAAACATGCTGGCGAAGGTAACTAAAAATTAAATCGAAATAAAAAAAATATTTTTTAAATAGGTTTTATATTTAAGAAATAAAAAAATAATAAATAGAAATGAATGAAACTCCATTTTTCATTTCAGAACTAAAAGAATAACATGGAAATTATCCTGATAATAATAACAAGTTTGGAAATAAATAATATTTAAAACAATGAAATTTTTTAAAATTTTTACAAAGAATATTACTTTTAAAAATTTTAATATCTCGTCCACAAACAAGTACAAAGTCCCCGCTGACGGTTTAATTAAATGTTATAATTCTCAATCACATTGCACTAAATCAATAGCCAGAGATAATGATGCGGACATTCATTAGTTTTTAATCGAAATTTAATGTTTTGAAATCTTATCGGCGAACAGACCTTAAAAATGGAAAATCACTCTAATTTATTTGCAAAAAATTCGTCACAAAATCACACACATAAAATCTGAAACTAATAAAAAACTAATAAAAGGGTTGATGGCGATTGAAATTCTTATCGATATTGATTTAAACAAAACGAAACGAAATATTCAACAACTATAACTTTTTCCTGTCAACAGTAGTGGGTATTGGGTGTTTAATTCACCCAGATAACACGGCAGACATTCTTTCTACAAAATCAAATATTTAATTTAAAAAAGTAAATATTTTATAAATAACTTAAACTGGTATAAAATATGAGGTTTCCCTCAAGAGTTTAGAACAAATATTTACTAATTTACTGACATAATGGTTGATGGCGACATTTTTGGTGTTCTTTTAACACATTTTTTTTTCTTTCTTTATACATATATAATATATATATAATTTTGACATGAAAAATATTGATGGAATTATGCGAATATAAAAATACCGGTAACTAACTCAATAGAAAAACAAATGCCCATAAATTTGATGATTATTTAATTATTTATTTAACAAAGCACAATCCGCCAATACGAGGAACGTTTAAGTTAGTGCAGTGCCGAAATTCGAGAATAACATTCTATTTTTCAATCAAATGAAAAACTGACGAGATCTACTAGATGTTCTCCAAGGATACTTTGTAGTTTGATAACTATTTTGTATACCGTCAGCGGTGAAAATTTGTTTTATCAAAATATTGGTTTTAGACCCCAAATCCGTTTCAGACAATTTGGAGGCGATTTACAAATGTCCCTCCCTCATAAAATGGTCAAAATTGTGCTAAAAATTATTTTATAATGTCATGCGAACGAACTATCCGATTCAAAAGTCGAAGGTTGTCCTTCTCTACATCGAAAAATTGTCTCTTATATATCAATGTTAGGCCTCCTATAAATCGATGGCTGGTCTTGTATAGAAAGAAGGTTGGGTGTCCTTAGCTTGAAGGGTATCTGACCTTCTAATGATCGAAGGCTGGCCTTGTCTCCTATAAATTGTCTCCGCATGCTGACAATGTCATGCGAACGGAATATCCGATTTTAACTAGTGATACGTAGTCGAGTGCAAAAGTCGACTTTTAGACTTTTCGATTTTTGCCGTTGACCAAAAAGTCGTTTTTTAGACTTTTCGATTTTTTCCTTTAAAAGTCGACTTTTTAATCTTTCGATTTTGTCAAACCTGTTCAAAATCAATTTTTGACTCAACAGATAAAATAAAGTTCTAGAATGTGCAATTTTTTAACAATTTGGGCTTTAAGATAATAAGCCAAGTATTTATGAAGAAGATCTATTTGCTATTTCCTCAAAGATCAAAAGTCGTCTTCGACTTTCAGACTTTTCAATACAAAAAGTCGATTAATCGTTTAGTCGAAAGCCGATTTACTTATCCCTAATTTGAACCAAACTTTGCACAACCTATTATCTTTACCAAGCCTAGGTGAAGTCCGAAGATGGGATCCATTGGTCCAGTAATTCTGGTACCTCCCCCACAAAAGGTCAAATTTGTCCACAATTCTATATTATTTATTAAATTCTCTCAAAGTATACAAAATTGGTCGGTACCGTGTTTTGCCAATTAAATATCACAAATTACGAAGTCAATATTAGACGCATGTAGATCATTTATCATTAAATCCAACGAATACCGAATGAACCGAACTAAGTCAAAATTAAGTACATATAGAGTATATAATCATTCATATTTTGAATCATGGAAAATGCCTTATGAGAACGAATACCCTTGGAGAGAATAATTAGAAAACTTATAAATTTGTTTGCGATTGTTGCAGGTTATTTTTGAGGTTTTGAGCTTTTTGACCTCCAAATATTTTTCAATAAAATCGCTCATAAGATTTTAGATAGGGACCTCAATGACAAGAAATCGATGTATGTATAGTTTCATCGTCCATTTTTAATTTTACCCGATCCTTGCTCAGAGAACTTTTTATTTACGAACACTCAGAAACTGAAAAAATTGTCCATTATGAAGAACTGTCGAATTCATGATTATAAACACGTTAATAACATTAATCACAGGAGGCAGATCCGGATAATTCAGATACACTTCTTATAAATATAAAGAAAGGTAAAAAATCGGTCAGCGTAAGCTTTTTAAAATTGTTTTAAATATATTTTGTTGTGAAATTCCATTATAAGTACCTATTTGCATTTCTCAATTTCGTAGGTCAATACTTCAGAATACAGGCTGAAGTAATGTATTTGAATACATTTCAAAATTTTGTTCAGATTTGGTGTCACAATCAAAATCCGTTCATTGATTTAGTCGGAAAATAGTCACTGTTTATAACAATGCATCCAATGGCGCCCAACGTCAGATTCACTTATGTATTAGAAAAATAAGTAGCAAACATCTCATAGCGGTCGATATACTAATTACAAACATTAAAGTTTCCACTACCTTAACTGTCCCAAAGCTTCATGGCATTTTTTTCCAATTCACAAACCCTCCAAACTTAGAAAATGTTGAGCTTTTTGTTAAGGATTGTCATGACATTTCGTGGGGTGATTTTTTTATTTTCTTATCCTGCGCATGTGTTATTTTTAAAGAACACAACACTGATTTTTTATTTAGATTGTGTAGATGGCAACAACATGGGGATATAGCTCAGTGGTAGAGCATTCGACTGCAGATCGAGAGGTCCCCGGTTCAAACCCGGGTGTCCCCTGTGTAGATTTTTTATATTTTTATTATTATTAAATTTCAAAAATTAAAATAATACAGTAACGTTGTGTTATAGCGAACTAAGAAGAACCAAGAAAATTAGTTCGTTATATCCAAGGTAAAGCAAAACCTAGAATTAGCAGAAAATATATTTTCAGTTCTGAAATTGGTAGTTTTGCTTCCTTTTTGACAATACTTAAGCTGCTACACTTTTGCTTTAATGAACATGACATTTTTGTAGAGTTGCAGCAATAGGATATAAAGTTTCTTATAACCAAATTAAAATAAATGAAAACTGAAAATGTGAGACCGAATAAAAAATTCGCTATAAGAGTGAAAATTTGTATGAAAAATCTGTCTTAACACTTCGGGACCAAGAAATGTGTTCGCTATAAAGAAATATTGTTATAACAGGTGATCGTTATAAGCGTCCTCGACTGTATACATAAAACTATAAAAAATCAAATATTCCTGACTTCAGTCCACAATTGCATACAAAAAAGTTTTAGAAGAGTTTGGCCTTTTTTACAAATTTCAAGGAAATTGTAATGAACAGAAAAATCTTTGCCGTACACCATAAGCTCTTTTTATTTACAATAAAAATATTTTTGATTAAAACTAATATAGTATAGTGCACCACTATTGTGACTTTCATTCTGGAAGCTTTCCGAAGTCGAGAACTACTTTTAAGAGGACACCCAAACATTTTAAATATTTATGTATATTACGCTATAGCTATAACATAATCCAGAGATTTGTATTTCTCTTCTTTCATTAGGTATTTACTGAGTTCATAAGTGCTCAATTTATCGAAATCGAATTGATTTTTTCATTCCATTTTATGTTTTTATTTTAAATAAATATTAACAGTATTAAAATAAATACACCACAACAAATTTCCATTGACAACTTTCGCTTCCATATTATATAAAAAGCAAATAAACTATTTTAAAATGCTCCAAACAAATCAAATTATATGATTTAAATTGCACCCTATTCTATTATATAATATAACTTTTTTTATAATCTAAAAAAAAAAGTAAAAATATTAAATAAAAGTTACACAGGGGACACCCGGGTTTGAACCGGGGACCTCTCGATCTGCAGTCGAATGCTCTACCACTGAGCTATATCCCCACATCGACTCGTGCGCCAAATGTTCTCCACAAGCTTCATGTTAACCGTTCTAGACAAGCATTGGGTAGTTCTAAAAATAATTTCGCAGCAACACAACAACGATAGCGTAGCGTAAAAGACATTAACCCGTTCGTTGAACAACAAAAGATGGGAAACACCCACAACAAAAAACATTAACAACAAAACGATATCAGGGGAACACAAAAGAATTATTTTTTTGATTTTTTCACATCTATGATTATACGACATGTTTCACACTTGTAGAACAAGTTGTTATTGTAAATGAAATAAAAAACTAAATTGTAATTGAGATAGGTGTTTTCTTTAATAATTGAAGTCTGGCGAAATGAAGATGTATAAAATAATTCCAATGTTAATAGGTATTCCCTACACTACGGGTATATAATGTGAGAGTATTATAAGTTTGGTTTGACCCGCTATTTTGTAACACCTCAGTTTTGGTTCGAGACCCAATTTTTAGCATCGTCTTATCTTGCCTAACTGAATCGATCTAGTCTATATCTTGAGTATAACTGTTAATCACACTATAGATTAAAATTATGGTCTGATCGTCCCGACAGTTATGACAATTGCCACTGTGGATACCTATATTTTTTTAGAGATTATCGTTTATAGTTACGGAATGAACCAAAATGTTATCCTTATCTGGTTTTCTGCTAGTCGTTTTTCTGATTGTATCACAACCGAAAACCACAACATTTTAAGGATCCCCGGACAACTGTGTCTATGATTTGAAAATATATTTAATAT